GCCGCGCCGCGCCTGGGCCGGCGCCGCTTCCCCCCGCGCCTGGACGGGCCTGCCGGTTCTGTCTCCCGCCCGGCGAAACTGACGCTGGGCGGACGTGGGCCGGCTGGCAGGCATCCGGAAAGGTCACAGCCCCCATTTCCCGGGTGCGGAACTGGCCAGGTTTGCCCCTTACAGGCCACCGTATGGCCCTTTCTGCCCTTAGACTCCCCTGGAGTTAGATTGCTCGGCCATTTAACTTTTGGGTCGGGATTTGTGTGTAGGGGGGATGGTTGTCTTTTGCTTTTTTGGCATTTTTTTTTTTAGCCCGCCCCCCGCGCCCCCACGCACACTCCAGGCGAGAGTCAGGCCGCGCCGTCCCTCCCGTCCTTGAAGTGCTGGGAACGCCGTCGCCCCGCGGTGATCACGTGACGGCGGCGTCCAGCGTGTCGCCGGGCAACCGCCCTCGAGCCGACCCCGCCGGCTGCGCGATGGACGTGATCTACCCCCTGGCGGTGCCCAAGGGGCGCCGGCTCTGCTGCGAAGTGTGCGAGGCTCCGGCCGAGCGGGTGTGCAGGGCCTGCACGGTCACTTACTACTGGTAGGCCCTGGGGTGTGCCCCGGCGCCGCCGCTCCCCCTCTCCCCACCGCCCGGCTGCGCCTGGCCGCCCAGGAGGGGGTTTCAGGACGGGGGGCGGAGGACTTCTGCGCCCTATTTGCGTCCTCTGTTCTTTCATTCATCAGATGTTTTTAATGAGCGGCTACTGTGTGCTCTGCACTGCGCTAGGTGCTTACGTCTCCGAGGGAACTCGGCAGACCATGTCCCTCCCTCAGAGAGCTAAACACATACTCGAATGCGACAGGTAGGTAAACAGTCAGAAAACAAGGTAGCTTCACAGAGGGATAAATGCTGTCAGGACCAAGGAAATGCGGTGGGAGGTTGGGCAGATAGCCTCTCGGACGGTAGGCTGGGTCTGAAAGGGAAGTAGGGGCCGCCTGCCCCGAATGGCTGGGGGAGAACGCGCAGGAAGGCTCCGAGGAAGGAGAGGCTCGGACTGAGGACTGGAAAGAAGGCTGGTTGTCTGCACCGCCAGGACGGCGAGCGTGTGGGAGGGCAGTACTGGGTGAGATCGGTTTTCATTTATGCAGCGTAACATCCCTTGACTTTTGCTTTAGATAGGGCCTGAGATAAAACGCCTAGGTTGCTGACTTCCAGAAACCTAGGTCAGAGCAGGCGAGCTTGTCATTATAACACAAGATGAGCTTGTCATTATAATGATGGCAGTCATTATAATACACCCTACATGACAAGTGCTGTCACTTAGGGTGTGCTGTTCCCTGGGACTTCTAAGGATGGAAGCTGGGTGATTGGGGCAGAGTCTGGGAAGGTTCTCTGAAGAAGCAACATTTGAGCTGAGTCTTGAAAGGTTAGTAGGAAGTTGCTAGGTGAGTGAACAATGAAGAAGGAAGCGTAGGACATTCCTGACATCCAGGATTGCCTGGCTGAAGGGTGAAAGAACAGTTTATTGAGAGCTGGGTAGAGAAGGTGGTAGCGGAGGGAGCAGTTCATTGATTTTTAAATTGTAATCCAGGACCCTTTAGCAGGTCATGAATAAGAAAATAATAGAGCCCTGGCCGGTGTAGCTCAGCAGGTTGGGTGCTGCCTCTGTGCCGTGCACTGAAAGGTTGCTAACCTAGCCAGATGCTGGACTGGACTGTGTAAATACGGAATGGAAACTCTGGACAGGGGCTCTGATCTTAGCTTTGCTGAAGACAAAATGGGACTTTTTCCATGGTGGGATGGAGGGAGATGGGATCTTGGAAACTCAGGGGTTTAATTCCACAGAAATAAAGCTTTCCACGATACCCCAATGTCCCGTGGGGGCCTCAGGAAATTCTTATTCCTGTGGCACCACAAGAACTCCATTTCCACCGGCAATAGGTGGGGACACGGAGGTGACCCCAGTGATAATACAACTACAGTAGAATGGAATTAGTAATTGATAACAAGGAAATTTGGGGAATTTACAAATGCATGGAAAAACACATTTTTAAATAACCAATGGGCTAAAGAAGAAATCACAAGAGAAATTGAGAAATGCTTTGAGATGAAAAAAGAACAAAAACACAACATACTAAAACTTACGGGATGCAGTGAAAGCAATACTCTGAGGGAAATGTATAGCTGTAAACACATATGTTAAAAATGAAGGAAGATACCAAATCAGTAACCTAGCCTCCTGCTTTAAGAAACTAGAAAAAGAGGTGCAAACTCAACCCAAAGCTAACAGAAGGAGGGAAATAGTAAAGATCAGAGCCTGAAGAAATGAAACAGAGAACAGGAAAGCAGAAGCAACAGAACCAAAAGCTGGTTCTTTAAAAAGATTTTTTTTTTTTTGATTGGCAAATCTTTAGCTAGTCTGACCAACAAAAGAAGACTCAAATTACTAAAATCAGAAAAATGCAAGTGGGGCCCTAGCCAGGTTTCTCAGTGGTTGGAGCATCTACCTGTCCCAGGTTTGATTCCAGCCAAGGGCACATACCTTGGGTGCTGGCTTGATCCCTGGCCCCAGTCAGGGCAAATGCCAGAGGCAACCAATGGATATGTCTCTAGTCACATCAATGTTTCTCTCTCCCCCCTACTGTCTGAAAAGCGATGGAAAAAACAACAACAAAATGAAAGTGGGGGCATCACTACCAACTTTGCAGAAGTAAGAGATTATAAGAGAATATTATGTACAATTTTTGTATGCCAACAAATTACATAACCTAGATGAAATATATTCCTAAAGACAAAAACTGACTCAAGAAAAAAACAATGTCTATAACATCTAAAGAAATTTAGCAAGTAATCAAAAAATGTCCTACAAAGAAAAGTCCAGGACTAGATGACTTCACTGATGAATTTTATTTGTTTAAAGAAGAATTAACAATTCTTCACAAACTCTTCAAGAAATAGAAGAGGAAAGGATAATTTCCAATTTATTTTATAAGACCATTACCTTGATACCCAAACCAGACAAAGGCATCACAAGAAAACTACAGGGCAATATCCCTTATGAATAATGATGTAAAAACCCTCAACAAAATACTAGCAAACCAAATCCAGCAGTATATAAAAAGGATTATACATGATGACCAACTGGGATTTCTCCCAGGAACTTAAGGTTGGTTAGGCATAGAGATATCAATATAAGACACCATCTTAATAGAATTAAAGGACAAAATCCATGTGATCTTCTCAATAGATGCAGAAAAAGCACTTGACAAAACTCAACACCCTTTGTGATAAAAACACTTAACAAACTAGGAATTATAAAGAAATTTCTGTAACTTAGTAAAGGGCATCTTTGAAAAACCTATAAAACACAGAGCTAACATCATATTTAATAGTCGAAGATTAAACGTGTTCCCCTTAAAGTCAAGAATGAGACAAGAATGTTGCTTTCACCACTTCTATTCAACATTGTACTAGAGGTTCTAGTTGGGGCAATTAGAAAAGACAGTGAAATAAAAGGCATCCAGCTTGGAAAAAAAAAAGAGCAAAAGTACCTCTATTTACATATGACAATCTTATAGTGAAAATCCTAAAGAACCCACAAAACCCCTCAAAACACTAGAGCTAATAAACGAATACAGCAAGGTTACAAGATTGCTATGCAAAAGTCAGTTGTATTTCTATATGATAGCAATGAGCTATCTGAAAGCAAAATGAAGAAAAACATTCCATTTACAAGAGCATCAGAAAAAGAGGGGAGAATGAATTTAACCAAAGAAGTACAAGATTTATACACTGAAAACTGCAAAATATTGTTGAAAGAAATTAAGACCTAAATAAAAGGAAAGGTATTCATAGATTGGAAGACTCAAGATAGCAACAGTCCCCAAATTGATCCCTATCAAAATTCCAACTGCCGTTTTTCAGAAATGGACTCACTGATCCTGAGATTCATATGAAAACTCAAGGGATCCAGAATAGCCAAAACAGTCTTTAAAAGGGACAAAGTTGGAGGACTCACACTTCTCAATTTCAAAATTTACTAGAAAGCTATAGTAATGAAGAAAGCGTGATACTGGCTTAAGGATAGACATGCAGATCAGTGGAATAGAGTCCAAAGTCCAGAAATAAGCACATCTATTGTCAAATGATTTTCAAAAAGGTTGCCAATAGATGTGCTTATTTCTGTACGTAGTTGTACATCTGTGTAATCTTGGATTAGGCAAGAGTTCTTGGGTACGACACCAACAGCACAAGGAACCAAAGAAAGACAGGTTAAACACCATCAACATTAAAAACTTTTGTGCATCAGAAAACAGAAGAAAGGGAGAAGACAGCCCATAGAATGAGAGAAAATATTTGCAAATCATAAATGTGATAAGGAGCTAGAATTCACAACATGTAAAGAACTCTTAAAACTCAACAATAAGAAGACAAAAGACCCAGTTAAAAAATGGGCAAAGGAGCCCTGGCTGTTGTGGTTCAGTTGGTTGGAGCATCATCCTATACACCGAAAGGTGGTGGGTTCAATTCCCCGTCAGAGCACACACCCAGGTTGTGGGTTTGATTCCCAGTGAGTGCATGTGCCCAGGGTGCAGGTTCTATCCCCAGTCGGGGTGTGTATGGGAGAAAACTGATTGATGTGTCTCTCTCATATCGATGTTTCTCTCTTTTCCTTCCTCCCTCTCTAAAATCAATAAGAACATCCTCGGGTAAGGGTTAAAAAATTTTTTTTTAGCCCTAGCCTCTTTGGCTCAGTGGTTAGAGTGTCAGCCCGAGAACTGAAGAGTCCTGGGTTCAATTCTAGCCAAGGGCATGTACCTCTGATGCAGGCTTGATCCCTGGCCCCTGTCGGGGTGCATGCATGAGGCAACTAATAGATGTGTCTCTCTCACATGGATGTCTCTATCTCTCCCTCTTCCACTCTCTCTGAAAAGCAATGGAAAAAGTATCTTCTAGTGAGGATTTACAAAAATATTTTTTTTTAATGGGCAAAGGATTTGAATAATTATTTCTTTAAGGAAGACATATAAGTGGCTAGTCAGCACCTGAAAAGATGTTCAACATTAGTAGTCATTGGGGAACTGCAAAATAAAACCACAGTGATACACCACACACACTAGGAAGGTTATAATAAAAAAGACAGAAAATAACAAGTGTTGGTTGGGAAGTAAAGAAAATGGAATCCTTATACACTACTGGTAGGAATGTAAAATGGTACAGCTTCTGTGGAAAACAGTTTGGCAGTCCTCAAAAATTTAAACATATAGTTACTATATGAACCAGCAGTTCCACTCTTAGGGATACACCCAAGAGAACTGAAAACATTTGTTCACACAGAGGTTTAAACACTAATGTTTATAGCAGCATAATAGCCAAAAAGTGGAAACAACCCAAGTGTTCAACTAATGAATGTATAAACAAAAAGTAATATAGTCATACAATGGAATATTATTCAGTCATAAGAAGGAATAACATTGATACATGCTGCAACTCAGATGAAACTTGAAGACATACTAAATGAAAGAAGGTAAACACAAAAGTCATATTTTATGCAATGTCCAGAATAGGCAAATACATAGAGAAAGTAGATTAGAAATTCTGAGGATTACATGGGTAGAAGGACAAATGAGAGCTACTGCTAGAGTGGATGGAGTTCCTGGCTGATGAAAATGTCCTGGAATTAGATAGGGTGATGGTTACACAACCTTTTGAGTATATATATTTTAAAAACACAATGAATTGTACACTTTATAAATTATATATTAATTTTAAAATGTAAAAAAACACAAAAACCCATGACTGGAGGAAGGGTCAGATCTAGGTAATAGATTCGGGAATTATTTATAGAGGCAATTATTTAAGGAATGGGAGTGGATACTCTGTAGGAGTGCTGCCCAATTGAATTTTTCTGCAGTGATGCAAATGCTCTACATCTGTGCTGTCTAATTGAGTATTTAAAAATACTAAATATGCATGTAAAACAGAAAAGCTGTATACCAAACTGTCACAGTGCTTCCCCTAGAGAGCTAAGAAACAGCTGGCTTTGGAGCACAGGCTTAGCGTAACTGCTTAATCTCTGTGCTTCTTTACCTTTAAAACAGTAATAACAGATTTTGTTCTGTTTTCAAAAGTTAACGAAATGCAAGACCACCTGCTGCCCCGCTGGGTTTGGGCGGCATTCGCAGTGTGTTCTGTGGGAAGCATCCCCAGGAGCGCAGAGGGCAATGCAAGTGGTGCTCTCCAGTCATGCAACATGAGGGCTCTGTTGATAGGAAAGCGTCTCCCGGAGTCTCACCAAATGCAAGTTCCTTTCTCTTCCCCAAGAGAAAGACTCTCAAATCCCTCAGCTTCAGAGTTCAGTATTTTGAAAATGACCTTAGAACAATGCAGATTGAAAGCTGTGCTTGTTATTAATTAAGCGCAAACAGAGTCGCCACAGCATCACCACATGGCTTCGGACTGTGAACCTGTGCCTGCGGAAAGGCCATCCTTCACCACCCCTCTCCCACCCCTCTTCGACATGTGCTTTCCACCATCAAATAATCAGATGATGGAGTAGAGATTTGTGCCGAAATGGCTTTGGGCTCCCTGCCTGGTTTATGTCGGGCTTCCTTTCCTAGTTTCTAGGGTGAGGCCAGGAGTAGAGCCAGTAGACTCTCAGGCCAGGCCTAAACTAAAGAGAATGAAGTCCATGTTTTTCTTGTCAGTGGTGTGGTTCATCAAAAAACTGACTGGGACAGCATCCACGAGAAGATCTGTCAGCTCTTGATTCCGCTGCGCACTTCCATGCCCTTCTACAATTCAGAGGAGGAGCGGCAGCATGGCCTCCAGCAGCTGCAGCTGCGGCAGGTAGGCCCTGCGGACAGTTCCAGGCTCACTCCTGGGTACAGCGAAACTGCCCAGGAGAAAGGGTGCTAACTGTAACCTCTGTGAGGGCAGAGACTTGGTTTTGTGTCTTTAAGTTCTCAGTACTGTTCACTCAGTCGTTCCCCACATAATTCCTGAGTATCTGCTGTATCAGCCTCCTTGGGCTGCCATAACAAAATACCATAGACTGGGCCGCTTAAACAACACTTATTTTCTCACAGTTCAGGAAGCGAGAAGTCCAAGATCAACAATAGGTGTTGGCAGGTTTGTGTTCTTCTGAGGCCTCTGTCCTTGGATTATAGATGGCTGCCTTGCTATGTCCTTGCATGGTCTTTTCTCTGCACACACATCCTTGGTATCTTTTTGTGTTCAAATTTCTTCTTATAAGGACACCAGTTAGATTGGATTAGGGGCCATCCTAAAGGCCTCATTTTAAATTAATCACCTATTTAAAGGCCCTATTTCCAAGTGCAGTCTCATTCTGATGGACTAGGGGTTAAGCCTTTAACATATGAATTTTGGGGGACAAAATTCAGCCATAATACCCATATATGCCAAGTACTGTGATGAGAGCCAAGGCCCATAGTAGGAGGTCAACAATGATGTGTGAATATATAAAGGAGTGAATAAATACAGGAGATTAGGAAAACTATTATGGCATTGATAGCATTTCTTTCTTTTCTTTCTTTCTTTCTTTTTTTTTTTTTTTTAAAAAGCCCTTTATAAGACATAAATCTCAAAGCACCAGATCCCTCAATTTCAGTGTTGTGACACTTTGAGAGTGGCCTTGGAACAATGCAGAGTTAAAGTTGTTTCTGATATTAGCTAAGCAGATAACTCCAGAAGGAACATTCTCTTCAAATTAACTCAAACAGAAAGGCAGAAAGTTCTAGATAGTCCTGAGGCATGACAGCTTTGTTAAACTAAAATTTTATTATTCACTTAATAATTTTCTATTGAGCACTTATTTATGCCAAGTACTAAACTAAGATGAAAATACACTTGTTCCTGGACCTTAAGGAACTCTGTCCAGAGTTTGCCTTTTTGTGTCACCTATTTTGGGTCTTGTGACCACCTTAATACAGGCAGGCTCACTACGTGCCTAGTTCATTAGGTGCTGGCCTCATCTCCAGGTGTACCTATATCCAGCATTGTCTTTTACCTTTAGACTGTCTCAGATGGTCTAGTTTTTTCTTCCACAGAAGCATTTGATTGAATTCTGCTACACCGTAGCCCAGAAATATATCTTTGAAGGGAAGCATGAAGATGCTGTCCCAGCAGCTTTGCATTCTCTTCGCTTCCGCATGAATGTGTACGGCTTGAGTTCAGTAGAGCTTGTGCCTGCCTACCTGCTGTTGGCCGAGGCTAGCCTTGGTAAGTGGAACTGACTGGAGACCCCCCTGGAATCTTTAAGAAGTGCTATATTGGGTCATATCAGTAGCCATAGAGTCTTGCCTTGGCAGTGGCACCAAGACACCTTTTGTGGAAGAGCAGGGTTGCTGAAAAGTTTGGCAGAAGGTGGGGAAGGAGATGTCATGGACTTTTGGCTACAACTGACAAATCCACTCTAGCTGGCCTAAGCAAAAGGAAGACATTTATTAGGATGCTGTACTGTCCTAAGGGAAGTGAAGTTTCATGAGGTACTAGAATCAGAATGCTGTAACAATTTAAGGCTGGTACTTAAATATACATATAATTCACCTACCATAAAATCCACTCTTTCAAAGTATAATTCAGCAGTTTTAATATATTCAGAAGTTTGTGCAACCATCACTACATTTAGTCCCAGAACATTTCAGTCAAACCAAAATGGAACTCCATACCCATATTAGCAGTCACACCCTGTTTTCCCAAACCCACATTTCCTGGCCATCACTAATCTACTTTCTGTCTCCATGGATTGGCCTATTATGGACATTTCCTATAAATGGAATCATACAATATATAGCCTTTTGTGTTTGGCTCCTTTCACTTAGCATAGTGTTTCCATGGTTCATCCATGTTGTAGCGTGTGTCAGTACTTCATTCCTTTCTATGACTGAATACTATTCCACTCATGGATATGGATAGACCACATTTTGCATATCTACTCATCACTTAATTGGTTCTGTTTTTTTTGGCTATTATAATTAGGCTGCTGTGAACCTTAGTGTACAAGATTTTGTGTGTCAATAAATGTCTGAGTTAATGAATGAATGAGTGAATGCATGCTGACATATTTCATCATGTGTTTTCTTGCCAGGATATGAATTATAACCTTCTTTCCTTCTTTTGGACAGGTCTGGGCCAGATCGTCCAGGCTGAAGAATATCTATCCCAAGCCCAGTGGACAGTCCTCAAATCAACTAAATGTTCTTATGCCACCCACTCTTTACTGCATCGGAACCTGGGACTTCTCTTTATGGCTAAGGAAAACTACGAGGAAGCCCGTTATCATCTGGCCAATGATGTAAACAATCTAAATTATAACATCTGAATATTTCTGAGACTAACGCTCAGTTCAGTTTTTATTTAAACTGAGCATTTCTTTATAAATTTTTTTGTCTACAGCTGGCTTGCGGGGTATTAGAAAGAGCACAGTTTTAACAACCTGAGTGCAAGTTGTTAACTTCCTGGCTGTGCAGCCTTGGCCAGGCCACGTCATTTCCCTAAGCCTCAGTTGCTCTGAGGATAATAAAAGGAGGCAGAACTGTGTACTGGTTGAGAGAAGGGCTTTACTTCTAGTCCCAGCTCTGTAGTTTGACCAGCCACATAGCCTTGGACAAATTATTTCACCTCTTTCATCACCTGTAAGACAGAAATCAAAGAATGGTCTCTACCTCATTGGGTAATTGCAGAGATAAATAATAGGACAACACGTGTGCAGCACTTAGGCTATTATTTTTGTAAATGACATCAATGTCTCTACTTCAGAGTGTGGTTATTAAGTTTCAATGAGCTAGTGGCATCTGAAAGTGCTTTATAAACTACAAAACTCTGTGCAGATGTTAGATAGGATGATGAGGGTGGTGACTGAGCGGCTCTTCCAACATTTCTGAGGTTTCTATTAGGATTTCATTACTGGACAATATTACCAGAGACAACAGTTCCTGCGCCTGAAATCTGGATGAGGTTAGGGTCAGACCGTGGTCTTCATGCAGGTTGGTTCTCTCTGCAGCCTCTCCCCTGGGCAACCCTCCCTCTGGCTGGCTGCCGCTGCGCAGTGCCCGTAGGTGCAGCGCAAACATTCTTGTGCTGAATAGTCTCCATGTTCCCTCACTCCAAATCCATTTGCTGCCCTGCCCTGCCCCCTATGGACTACGCAACCTGGACTCCATTGCTCTGGCTTTGGTCTGGAAACAGGTATGGCTGGGGACTGGAGGTTAAGCAGAGAGAGAGGTTGGGTCTTTATTCTTTCTGCCGCCTTTCTGCCCCACCCCAGTTCTGGCAGGGACACTTCCTCTGTGGCCATGACTAGCTCTTACTGGGCCCTGGTACCCCGCTTTCTTCACTTGCTTTTTCAGGAGTTGGAATGGTAATCATTCCTTGCTGTTGATAATCCCCGGTGCCTCTCTAGCTCTTGTTGGTTCCTTCCACACCTCTGTAAATAATTCTTTTCATTAGACTGTCTTCAGGAAATAATTTTGAGGATGCCATGAATTCTTCACTTGTTTCTCTACACAAATAGACTCTACAGTCTCTGACAAATTAAGCAGAGGCTCATTCTGTCTTGAGTTGGGCCGCACTGTTAAGAACTAGATCAAGCTCCAGATTCCTCAGCCTAGCTTTAAAAAAACAAAAACACCACAAAAACAAAACACCGACCACAGCTTTATTGACACATACCATAAAACTCACCCACATAAGCATATAATTTAGTGATTTTTAGTTAGCTTACAGAGCTGTGTAGCCATTAACACAACCCAGTTTTAGAACATTTTGATCATCCCAAAGAGACTCCTCATATCCATTTTCAGTCATTTCTCATTCTCACCCCTGTCACGGGACAGGGACTGGCAAGAGCAGGCCTGCCTCAGGACAGCCTGTGGTGTGTGGGTTCTTGACTTTGTGTGGGAAAGAGTTCACAATACAACTCTAGGTGATTTTGAGAATGCGTTTATTAAAGCTGGGGACAGTGAAACAGAGGAAGGGCTTAGGGTAGAAGAAGCAACAGGAGAGAGCCCAGGTGGGGCTGTTTTGGCTCACTAGAAAGTCAGAGCAAAGAGAGGTCTCAGACACAGGATCAAGGGGTAAGCCCAGAACAAGCTTCCGCTGCCCACTGCTCCCCTGGTTGCAAGTCTTGTGGGCACCCTGAAAGTTTAGGAGGAAATAAAAAGTTCATACCTGAGAAGGGGCATGGGTGTGCTCCAGAGAAAGCACCCATTGGGTATTTTTCTTGGGGTGTGTGTGTATTTTTCTTCTGTGGGCGAGAATCTTAGGGGAGGATTTCAGCAGAATATTCATCAACTTTCCAGGTGTGTTTTTAATATGCTGATGCATCAAAAACGAGCTTATAGGGGAGTTTGGTCTGCTTTACTGTTTTACTTTTATCTTGGGTCTGTCTGGCTCTAATCGGGTTTTTATTTTTTGTGTCCTCTGACTTTATCCATCCTTGGGTTTAACTGGCACAAATAGGATTAAGTGCATTCTCTGGTTGGGGAGGAGGTTGCTCTCATGTCCTTGGTTAGGGAAGATAAGGTCTTGCAATTCACTAGTTGGCTGTAAGTTGTTCAAATTGTTTGGCCTTGTTTAATGATCTTGTCTCAGTTTCCCCATCCCACTTGCCCAGGAATTTTCCTGGCTTCTTACTATCCTGCCTCACTCCCAACCCCAGGCAGCCACTTTCAGTTTCTCTAGATTTATTTATTTCTGGACATTTGATATAAACAGAATGATAGGTGTTTTTTGTCATCTGACTTCTTTCACTAAGCATAATTATTTTGAGATTCATCCACGTTGTGTGTATAAATACTTCATTCCTTTCATTGCTGAGTAGTCCATCATCTGAATCTACCACGTTTGTCTAGCCATTCCTCAGTCGAGGGACATTTGGGTTGTGTCCACTTTTGGCTATTATGAATAATGCTGCTAGGAATATTTTTGTACAAGTCTTCGTGTGGACACGTGTTTTCATTTTCTTGGGTATATACCTAAGAATGGAATTGCTGGGTCTTGTAGTAACTATATGTTTAACTTTCTGAGAACTGCCAAATTGTTTTCCACAGAGGGTGCATCATTTTATAATCATACTAGCAGAGCACGAGGGTTCCATTTTCTCCACATCCTTGATAATCCTTGTATTCTGCCTTTTTGATCATAGCCATTCTAGTGTGTGAGAAGTAGTTTCTCATTGTGGCTTTATTTTGCATTTTTGTAATGACTAAAAATATTGAATATCACTTCTTACGCTTATTAGCCATTGGTATATGTTCTTAGAGACATGACTATTCGGACCCTTTGCCCATTTTTAATTGGGGTGTTGTAAAAGTTCTTTATTCTGAATACAAGTCTTTTTATTAGATATATGATTTGCAAAGAGAACGCAAGTACTCCCCTTCCTCCTTCTGCTATAGATTTATTTTGCCAGTTGTGCATTTGGAACAGAGGACATCAGGACCTCAGGAGGCTACTTTCACCTGGCTAATATCTTCTATGGCCTTAATAAGTTGGACCTGGCAGATACGCTGTACACCAAGGTGAGCTGGGGTATATGGGAGCTGAGCCTTGATACTTAGGCCTTGTGCCTTACAACCAGTGTCAGATCATTCATGAGAAATTTGAAACACAACGAGATAAAGTGACTTGCACAAGTTTACGCAGCCTGATATATGATATATTCCAATTTTTTTCTTCCTGTTTCTCCACTACCAAAATAGATCAGTCCTTAGAATCTGTAGGACAATTAACAAATAATAAGTGAAGGGTCAGTATGAACCAAACCCCTCCAAATAGATTGCCATGTGCTCTATAATACCCATAGGAGCCAGATAATGTGGGCATATTGAAGTATGTGATAGAGAAGGAGATGAGGTTTTCAAGGGCAAATTGTTGCTAAAAGGTCATATGAAGGGATCGAAAAATATGAGTGTACTTTGAAATTTCCGTGTTTGTGTGTGAAAGATTTTAAACTGTTTCTAATATGTTAAAATGTTGGTTATATTCATAGAGTAACACCTTACTTAGCAAGCAACTGTTTCTGTGTGTGATGCAGGCTCTCGTGCTGTGACTGCTTATTCGTATTGAGGCCCGCTTATGAGGAAGAGGCACTGGGGTGTAGCTCAAAAGAAATGAGCTTCAGAATCAGACAGACTTGAATTTAATTGCTGGCTGTGCCACCTAGCAGCTCTTGCCAGAAGTCATGGGATCTTAACATCTTGGAGCCTCTGTTTATTTCTCTGTAAAATGGGAATAAGAATGTGACCTCAGTTGGTTGTATGTGTGCTCAACAAATGGTAGCCATTGTTCTTAGACCCTATCAGGGCGTTCCCCAGATCAGCCACATGCCCTGTGCAGCCCAACACTTGTCACACTCACTTTGGCTCCTAAGGCTCCCCCTGCCTCCAGGCACAGTGAGAGAGGGAGTCTGTAGACTGTCAGGAAACCTGGCCTGAGGTGCTGGCCTCCCAGCTGGCTGGTCCAATGGCTGAGACCTGGCCTTCTTGTCTGATTGCATCTTCTTTCCCAACAGGTCTCTGAGATCTGGAATAAATATTTGAACAATCGCTATCAAGTCCTCTCACAGGCTCGCATCCAACAAATAGATTTACTGGGCAAACAATTTGAGACTGACACTGGCTTGGGTAAGTGGCAGTTCTCCCTATGAAGCAGAGCAGTGACTTCCTCTCAATCCACGGGCCTTGTACCGAAGAGGGAGAGCTGCTGTACCTGTCATGGAGCACATGCCATCTCCCCATCTTGGTTATGAGGAAACTGAGACAAGGGAGCAAAGGGATTTTACCAGAATTCAGGTTCCTAGCATCACACACAGCCTTTCAGGGGACATACTTGGAGGAAAAAAGACCCTGCCAGGGCCCACTGTGATTTCTGCAGAGCATCCATTTCTTATGTGTTATCCTTCCAAGGCACATAAGCCAAGGCAGACTCAGCACAGAAGTCGCATTACTCAGTGGTCCTGGTGCCTTACCCTCTTCCTTTACTGGACAGTGAGCTCCTCAGTGGGAGCACCATCCCCAGGCTCGGCAAAGGGCCAAGTGTTGAGTAGCCCTGTACAATATCATTACCTCTGAGATAATAAAGAGACAAGGGATCTAGTTTGTGCTAAAAAAAAAAAAAAAAGACATACAGTGTAGTTGGTGAGACAGAGCCTATTTGAGAGACCAAAAGAAAATTTCTCTGAGTACAGATTATATTATAAGCTGAACCTCAGAACAAAGGGTGATGATGGTGTTGAAGAGGGGAGACTTCTTACAGGAGAGGTTTTGAGTTAAGGTTTAAAAAGTTAGTTACTTTTGCCCTGGCCATTTTGGCTCAGGGGCTAGAGCACTGGCCTTCAGACTGAAGAGTCCTGGGTTCTATTCCCTGGGGAACATGCAGGAGGCGACCAATCAATGTGTCTCTCATATTGATGTTTCTCTCTCTCTTTCCCTCCCTCCCTTCCACGCTTCCTGAAAAACAATGCAAAAAATATCCTCAGGTGAGAATTAAAAAAAAAATTAGTAACTTTATTGAGTTTTCTTTTATGATAAAAGTGGTTCATGTTAAAACAGAAAACTTGGAAATCAGATATCCAAAGATAGCCAACCTTAACATAATGGCATATATCCTTTCTGTCTGTTTCTCTGAGCTTAACACCGTAAGTCCTCACTTAATGTCTTTGATAGGTTCTTGGAAACTGACTTTAGGTGAAATGATGTATAACGAAACCAGTTTTATGGTAGGCTAATTGATATAAACGAGTTAATTTCCTATGGCACATTTCTGGTCACAAAAACATCACCAAATTCGTAAATAAATACCCCAAACACTTCCATTAAACTCTGAAATAAATGTGACCTATACATACATTTAAGCAAGATTAATAAAAACAAGTGAGGTAATTCTTTTCTGACCTGCTCATTCCAGTTCAAGGTCGCAGGTGACTGGAGCCTATTCCTGCAGCTCAGAGCTCAAGGTGGGCATTCACCCTGGACAAGATGCCCTTTCATTGCAGGGCCACTCACACACACCCACACTCACTCAGACTGGGACAGTTTAGACACACTAGTCACCTAATGTCCATATCTTTGGGCCGTGGGAGGAAAACTGAGGACCAGGAGAAAACCGGTGCAGATACAGATGTGGGGAGGACGTGCCAACTCCACACAGATAGTAGCTCTGGCTGGAAATCATTTTTTTTTTCTTCCTCTCAGCAAATAACATTTAATGAAGCAATGTTATTTGGGATTTGCTATACTTAAAAAAAATGCTTTTAAGTATCTGGCCCATAATAACTCATAATAGGTCAATAAATGGTGAATGAAGAAGAACCAAAAACTACTGGGGGAAATTGTAAACAGCCTCCCCAGGGAAAGCAGAAAGGCCATTGCTAAACATCTTTGGATTTGGGGAGTAAGAATTAAGATGCTGCAGCTGCAGGGAGCCCCGCTCCTCCTTTTGCTATAGAGTGGAAGCTTAGTTGGGCCCAAGGAATCCCACTGTGACAAATTCCGTGTATTTGGGAGCCTGGGAGACCTAATTAAGGACTCTGAAAGAGAGAAAGCTTAGCAACATTGGGACTGAGCACTTCTTTAGGTTACTCTGATAATGACTGCTAGGCAAGGCTGGGGAGCTGCCTGGAACTGTGCAGAGGTCCAGGTGCAGAACTTGCTCTGCTTTGTGCTTCCTCCACCGGTGTCCCTGTGAGGAGGCTTCAGGAGGCCAGGTGCCCTCGCAGCTCAGTGCTTACCCCTGAGGGATAAGCACCCCTGAGATTCAGCTGCCCCCCAGCACCTGTTTCTTCTTCCCTGCTTTCCACTGCAGATGAAGCCCAGGAAGCAGAAGCCATTCGGATCCTGACTTCAATCTTAAACATTCGAGAAGCTACATCTGACAGAGCTCCCCCCAAAATTGTCTTTGTTCTGAAAATCCTGGTCATGCTTTACTACCTGATGATGAATTCTTCAAAGGCAAGTTTCCCTAGAAAAGTAGCATGTCTAAAACGGAGGCAGAAATTCCTCTAGTTGAATCCAGCTGCGACTGACCAACTGCATTAGCTTTTGCCCTAAGAGTAAGCCCTCACTCCAGAAAAGTTTGGATGCTCATGACAAGTTTTATTTGTTGAGTCCAGCCTGCAGAGTGGAAACTGGAGTGTCTTCTTCCCTCACGGGGGCCTTCCCAGAGTTGCATAGGTAAACTGAGGCTGGGGCAGTGCTCGGAAGCCTGAAGAGCAGGAGGGCTCTGGGGAGTCCTTGCAGGAACAGAGTAGGAGCTTTAACTGCACTCAGTGAGTTCCCCCTGGATGGCAGTTTAATTGTGGCCCTTGTCATCTCTCTGCCTCCCAATGTTGGTTCAAAGGGCCCTAAGTAAGATCCTGCAAAGATCTCACTTTGCTTAGAAGGTGCATTTAGTTTGTCCAGGTGGCTTTTTCTGGTGTCCCCTTCCCCACCCAGCATACGTGTGGCTAGCTCTAAGGACCCAGTGTGTGTTCACGCGTTTCCAACAAGAGCTCAGTGGCTGGTGTGAGAAGCTGATGGGTCCTTTCCCATGTTTCTGGGATAAGCACAGATGGGGCTTCCCAATGTAATGCTTCCCTGTGACAACTTCCTTTTGTCACTGTAATTCTATTCCAGGCACAAGAGTATGCCACGAGAGCCTTCAATCTAGCTAAAGAACAACAGCTCGGTGTCCGTGAGCAAAACAGCATTCAAGAATTACTGAATCTCATCTCAGCTGAAGAAGCTTAGCCCATTCACTAGTGACCCATGGGTTCCGCGGCAGGGCCCATTCAAGGGACTGTTGAACATCTAATACATTCCAGCTTCACACAACTGCTTTGAGGTGCTATGAATTGCTGATGTTCCCACCCTCCTCCCCTGGGACTTCACATATAGTGTGTTTTTATTCTTGCCCCACATATGAGAGCTTTGGGTATAGAAATCAGTAAAACTTGTTTATCATGACTTTTGTACTTGGTTTATCATGACTCTGTACAACTTTGAGTAATGTGCTGTCAGCTCACTAATATGGTACTTATAATTAAAGTGTGAATAGTTTATCATATTTCCCAGAAGTCTCCTAGCGATGCATGTTCCATAGAGCTTTGCCAATAACGGGGGTGGGGAACAAGCTGTATTGGAGCAAAGTTTCCCTGTTCTACTGGAATGAAGTTAGCATTAATCTGAGGTAGTTTGTGATTAAAATGTCCATTATAATTCCTAGAGCAGTCACTAAGAAAATTACTCTAAAAATAGTTTAAAATCAACAAGGGAATTAAAATATACTAGAAAAGATTCACTTCATGCAAAAGAAGGCAGTGAAGGATAAATAGAGGGGCAAGAAGGACATGAGATATAGAGAAAACAAATAGCAAAATGCAGACATGAATCATAGGTCTTTGCCAGAGAAAGCCCCTGTGCAATGCAAGGAGCCCCAGTACAGATTGGCAGAGCTACCATTCCAGGCTGGTGTGTTTCTCTTCCTAGACAATGACTGGAAGCAGACGTGAGCCATCCCTACAGTCTAGGGGAGAAGCCCTCTGAAAGGCCCCCTGAGATGCAGAGGACGGAGTGCAGGCCTCGCCCTCAGATGTGCCTGGGTCCAAATCCCAGCTCTCTCACATAATAGCTTTGTGACCTTGATCTCCCCCATAACGTCATTCGTCGTTGTTGTAAAATGGCCTAGATGTGACCATGGCTGTATCAGCTTGTCCCCTGGACGACTGTGGTCACTTAGCATATCTCGTTTTTTTAGCTCCAGATTTGTCAAGCAGCCTGCCCATTAGCACAGTTTGCCTCGTGGGTAGATTTGCCCCAGGGAGAGGATATGCAATTCAAGGACCTGTCAGAGAGTTTTATGTTCCTCGCTGTAAATTATTTCTCTCGGGTACATGATAAAAACAGGTCAGCTGGGCTGCCCTACCCTTCAGGTCTCGGTAAAGCCTGCTGGGGCCCCACTGCCAGCTCCATCCCCACTCGGGGCCTGCAGGAGGCAGCCGGTCCCTGACGACTCTCTCATCATTGATGTTTCTCTCTCCCCCTCCCCTTTGAAATCAATAAAGATATATTTAAAAATAAAATACAAAATAGAAGTTTAGTGAAGATTTGAGGGGAGGGAGGAGGATCAACACCTCTTAGCAGACAAGTTAAAAGAAAGTGTGAGAACCTCCCTATTCTAAAGAAGTCCTTGAAGTCTACTTCATTAAACTCTGCCTCTCTCCTTTACTATATTCATTGCCCTTTCTCTTTTCCCCCCTCCGTTATCTATTCTCTGTTCTCTCTACGCCTGAATTCTTGTTCATGAATCCTTCCCCACTGAGTAAGTTTATAAAATTATTGTTTAAATTGTTTAACTGTGTTATTCCTATTGACTGCTTTTCCTCTTCTTCATGTCTTAGTAATTTAATTTTCAGTCTTTCTGCTCTTCTAACACTTGCATATAGGCTATACATTCTCCTCTAAATACTGCTTTAGTTGATCCCACATACTTTAAACTTCAGCAGTTTTCATTTTGTTCTAAATATGTCTTAATTTTCATGACTCATAAGTCATTTAGGGTGTGATTTTTAATTTCAAAAAGAAGGTGACTTGTTTTCTAGCTTAATTTTATTGAGGTCATAAAATATGCTGTATGCAATTTTGATTTTTAGGAATTGGTTGGGATTTGCTTTATGGCCGAGGATATGGTCAATATTTGTAAATGATCTGTGTGGGCTGGAAAAGAATGGTGTTATTGGGCGCAGTGTCCTGTATATGTCTGTTAGGTCAAACTTGTTCATATTGTCAAATCTTGCATATCCTTGCTGAATTTGTTGTTTAAATCTGCGAGAGGCATATAAAATTCATCCAATATGATTACAGATATATTTATTTCTCCTACTTCTGTCAAATTTTGCTTGTTATTAGGCAAGTACATATTCAAATTTTATATTTTACTAATAAACATAAAGAATGAAATCTTTATATTTTATATAATAAAGTACTTCTCTCTATCTCTAGTAATGCTTTTGACCTTAGAGTCTATTTTGGTTTCATAGTAGCACAGTACACTTATTTTCTTTTGGTTGGGTTGCTTGATCAGTGAGGCATCCCCACTTACCTCTGCTTCAGCATTTATCTCTGCTTTGAGGGGGAAGCCAGGAATTACAGTATCTCTTCCCTTTTATGATTCTGGATGAAATTCAGCCAGTGAGGGGGCAACTGCACAAGATTTGGAAGCTGGATGAGGAACAGCCATTAATCTTCCAGAGAATCGCCCACTGTTGCTTTCTTGAAAGCAGATTTCCTGTGAAAGCAGCTTGCTGACCTTTGCTACCTGATCTTTATCACCCAGTCATTTCAGAGACTGTGTAGGCCTCTAATTCCCTGTATTAAATACATCTCTTCACTCAACATGCCTACAGAGGCTTCTATTTTCCCGACTAAATCCTGCCTAAACACTCGACATCTCTTCTTGCAACCTTTTACTTGCAAACAGTCTGTGTCCTTATGTTTTGGATGTATCTCTTGTAAAAATAATATAATTAGATATTTTCATAGCTGTAATTTTTAAAGAACCATTTAGTCCATTTATATTTTATTTAGATGCTGAATTTGGGGGTTTAAATTTATCATCTTATTTTGTGCCTTCTATTTGTCCTGCATGTTCTATTTTCCCCTTTCTTTTGGATTGATTACATACTTTTTTCTCATTCCATTTTCTCCCATCTGCTAGTTTGTAACATATATATGGTGTTTCTATTATTTTAGTAATTACCCCAGAAATTCAGTTATTCATTTTTAACTTATCAAAGTCTGAAGTTATTCAGGATATTTACCCTCATCCTGGACATACAATGTGTTAAAACCTCTTAACTCCTTTTACTGACCCCTAACTTATATATTATTACTGTTATTTATTTCAAATATATCTTAAACCCACAATATAACACCATGATTATTATTTTATACAGTAGCCATATTCTTTCTTGCTTTTTATACCTTCTAGCTGGGCTTACATTACTAATAAATCCTTTAGTATTTCCTATAATGAGGGTTTGCTGATGGCAAATCCTCAGGTTTTCTTTCTTTCATTGATCTAAAATTGTTTTATTTTGCCCTCATTTTTTGATTCTTCAATGAAAATGTATTTCATTTTCATACATTATACAGTGATGCAGGACATTGTCTCAATTCTGAAAATCTCTATAAAATGTGGTTTACTTGACCCAAAAGGTATACAGGGGTTGAAGAGAACCAGCAGTCCTGCGGAGAGAACAGTGCCTCTTCTCTTCCCACCAGGTAACCACGTCTTTCTTCAGCATCTTCAGCAGAATTTGCAGGTGTGGAGCTGAGGGATCATCCTTGAAAGGCCTAAGTTTTTCCTACTAGCAAGTACATATGCACTGCTACCGATTACATCATGTTGTCTGCGAACCTTTATCTAGCAAAATTCGCTTTGAGTATTTGTTCTGCATTCCCGCCGTGTCACATGTTATCACTGCAGAGCTATGGCCTGTGCTGCACAGTAGGTCCTCAGATGACCAGGAAGAGAACCAAACTGCTCTTCCACCAGTGGGTGCCACGGCAGATACACAGCATGCAGGCAAGGTGTCCCGTCTTCATAATGGCCCTATGAAGTACGGCATCTCTCAAGAACAACAGGTCACACAAAACAAACATTTAGCAAAGTAAATGCTTCGTTACTTAAATGACAGACCATGTCATCATTTTGTTTGATAGAAAAAGTGTGACTTTCCTGATATTCATCAACACTGATGACAATGTGATGGACATAAATATTTTATTTTATGTATATGTATACACACAGTTTCAATAGTTAATAAATACGTAAACAGCAGATTTTTGAAGCGTATGAACAAGTTTACTGTTGAGACCAGAAAATAAAACCAAGATGATATATTATAAAGATTGTCCCTTGCTTTCAAAACTTTGTAAGGATTGTAGATCTTCCAGAATATGTTAATGAACAAAGAAAAAAAAAGTTTTCAATAAAAAATGATCATCAGTTGTTTGAAAGTCAAGTTTCACCACATGAAACAAAATTGGATGTGGAGGTCGAGGAAGACAGCAGGCAAAAGTGACTCCTGGAGTTTTCCCGTTGTCCGCTTTGAGCAAGTGGCTGGCTTTGTGCAGGCAGCTGAGCAGGCCCTGGAAGAGCGGCGAGCCGAGGGCGAGGCACGGACCGTGAGTTCAGATGGGGCGCGGGGCGCGGGGCGGCTGAGATATTCATGAGACATTTGAGGAGATGAAAAGATAGGCAACTGGACATGCAACCTGACATTAAGAAAAGAAGCTTGGGTTTGAAAGATTCACTTGAGAGTATCACGTAGATGGTAACTAATACCATGGAAATGGAGAAGATCACGCAGGGAGGAGAAAAGCCCAAGGAAGTGCCTTGAAACCGAACGTCTAAGAAGAGGTGAACCAGCAGCGGAGGCCGGCAGGATTTCAGATTTATTCAGACTGTTCATGCAGAGAATTCCCACGTCCCTTTCACCCAGATTCCCCAAACGTTATCACTGTACTGCATCCGCGTTATTTTCTCTCTGTGGATACGCATTAATATGGACCATTTGAAAGAAAGTTGCAGGCATTTTGTCCCTTTATTCTTCAATGTTTAATATGTATTTTCTAAAAACAAGGACACTCACATTCTCATTAATGTAATCATCAAAATCAGGGGATGAACACTGATATGATCCTATCACACAGTAAAAAACAGACCTCATTCAGATTTTACCAATTGTCCTAATAATGTTCTTTATAGAAGAGACCCCTTGAGCAAGCAGTGTGTTCAGCGGCCATGCCTCTCTGTGAGAGGAGTGCCTTGAGATGGACACTGCGCTGCTACACATGGCCCCTGACTTGCCTCAGGAGCACTCAGCCACAGTTTTCTAACAGAGGAGGAAGCCAAGGCCCTTGGGGAGGTGTAAAGGGCTGTGACTCACTGAGGGCACAGTACACCGAGGCTGGTGGAAGTGAGGCAGGATAGTAAGAAGCTAGGAAAATTCCTGGGCAAGTGGGATGGGGAAACTGAGGCAAGATCATTAAACCAAGGCCAAA